CCACCCCCCACTACCATTGCCTGTAAACCCCCTCCATCCCGGCCCGTGGTGCCACAGAGCTGGCGGGCAGCCCCTTGCTCCCCTGGCCCCGAGCGTGGCTCTGGAGGAAGCCAGAGCAGGAGACAAGCGCAGCAAAGGCCTCCGGCCCCTAGCAGTAACCCGTGCTGTTCCTCCTCACAGAGCGTGGCAGGGGAGGAGATGGAGGAGGCCTCGTCCGTGCAGCAGGGTAGGTGTGTGCTCGGCTGTGGGAGCGGCCAGACCGCATCGTGGTGTCCGGCTGCCCTGCGGTGGGGAGGGGACACCTGGGGAACGGACACATGGCTGCCGAAGCATCCAGCTCCTGAAACCCACCTCTGAGCTGCCGCGCTGTGCCAGGCGAAGGTGCCAGGGCGGCAAAAGTAACAGATCTCCCTGGTTGGTTTGCCAAGCATCTGCTGCAAGCTCTGAGCTGGTAGAGCTGCCACGCCACAGGCTGTCTCCTCGCACGGCTGAGGGGGGATGTTGGGAAAAATATCTTTACTGGAAGAGCACTGGAACAGGCTGCCCAGGGCAGGGATGGAGTCCCCATCCCCAGAGGGGTTCAAAAAACGGGTAGATGTGGCATTTGGGGACATGGTTTAGCAGGCATGGTGGTGTTGGGTTGGCGGTTGGGCTTGATGATCTTAGAGGTCTTTTCCACCCTTAATGCTGCTATGATTCTGTGAGATGGCTGCATGCACCACTGCGGTCCTGATGAGGCTGTGGCTGCAGTACTGGGCTCGCGGGATGTGCGCTGCGTCTTTGGGCTGGGTCTCTGGTGCTCAGACAGTGTCCGGAGGGCAGAGGACGGGGTCAGGAGGGGCTGCTGGGTGTGCTTGGGGCGTAAGCCTGCACGTGGGCAGAGCTGGCCCTTCGGCACCGTGACCTGGGCCGGCCTGACCAGCTCTACCGAGATCTGCGGGGCTGGGGGGCCCAGGAGCCTCCTCGCGTGGGAGGTCTCGGCCTGTGTGCCCCTGCAGAGCTGGGCTGGGGACTGGGG